GATCTAGATTGATGTTTTCATTGCAGAGTTGTTACATCAATCTTGATTAAGGCGAGGCTCATAGCATATACCCATCGCCTCGTATATATATTGTATGAAAATGTGATGCATCATCTCGGATAACATATTATATTATTCCTAGCGAGACATCTAAAATTATGGTCTAATTGCATCGGATGAGGCATGTGAAAAAGGGAACGCAAAATGGAGTACTAACTTTACGAGACATTTTGCTTAACTCTCTGTCATATTACATATTTCGTAGGTTGAGACGTAACATACCGTATTGTGCTTCAATCAACCACTTCCTTCGTTCCATAAAGATATGTTTACTTTCTTTTTTTATCCGTTCCAAATTATAGACAAATATCCTTATCGATGATATAGTTTAATTTTCAGTATTCTAATATACTTTTATTTAATGCGTTTTGTCATCAACAAATATGATTGTTCATATTTGTATCATTTTTAATATAGAGGTATATTTAGAAAGTGATTATGCTACTTGTGCAACAAAAATGGAATGGAATTAGTAAATATTTTTGCTTTTCTAACCATTGGGCCCATGGATTCTGCTTTTTGCGGTGGACCGACATCAATCCAGCCCCTTCTTTTTCAATTGGCAGCCGACATTATTTGGGCCCACTAGTATAGGTCAAATGTCAAAACCACCTTTTAGACGTTTTGTTGCTTGCTTATTTGTTAAGTTAATTACTCTAATTAGCCAAATAAATTAAGATTAATCAAAGTTGAAGAAAAGAATCTTATATTTGCAAATGGATTACGAATCGCAAGATCAACGGAATCACCTTTTTGGTTTTCCATAATGGCGTTGCCGCGTCGTCCGTTACGTGATTAAAGATTGTCACGATTCAATCATATCTTTATCAATTCCCCCCTTCGAAATAATAATAATAATAAATCATAGTCCCGATCTAATGTCTCAATTTTTAAAATTTATATGTTTTTGTCCCTTTTTTACGAATTTTAATACTTAAAAAAAATAATTTAGAGAAAAATGAAAATTTTATTTGTTAATAACTTAGAAATAAATTAATCAACGATTGAAGCATTGTCGATAATTTTCGACAACATCATTGACGTTATTATCGATGATAATCGTTGAATGCTGGTGATTACTAACGATATTACTATCGATATTTTTTGTAGTCAATCATAATCACCAACAATCTATCGTTGACAATCATTGACGAAATTTTTATTAGTAATGTTTAATCCATTAAATATATTATATTATTCTTGAAATTCTTGAAATTCTCTCGTTGGTATTTTTGTTTACCCTCAAATTATTTGAGCTATCTTTGCTCAATCGAAATGACTTAGCTTTCATTTGGAATGAATTTATGAATTTAATTTATAAATAAGTATAAACGAGTAGTGAATAAGTAAATAATATTTGTGAAATTATTGAAAAATGAAAATAAAGTTTGATTTGAAGAAAATAAGCCCTTGTTTGGGCCCTATTTTAAAGGAAAATGTGTTTTTGAATAGTAATTTTTTGTTGAGAATATGTGATAAAAATTAAGAAAAAATCGCGTAAAGTTATTTTATTGAAGAAAGTGTAATCGAAACTAAATTTTGAAAAAATGAATTTTTGGAAAATGGAGTTGAAAGGGCTAATATTTCAGGTAACTATAGGTTTAAATTTTAATGCGTGTATAAAATATAAAAAAAATAAAAAATAAATAAATCAGAAGACATAACCCTGGAGGTGTGAGGTGGATGTGGGCCCCGGTTCAGCCCCACATATGCATTATTTTGACTGAAGTCAGTACGCGTAGAGTGGATCCCACGATGTGTTTTGACGTGTCATTTGTTCAGTTCCTCCCAGCTGTCATTTGCTCTGTCCTTTTGGCCATTATACAAATAAGGAAAAATCCAATTATACAATGTTAGGGTATACAATCTCTAATCCAATTAATTGATGGATCCCACCCTAATATGAGAGATTGTAAAAATTACAATTTTCTAATGATTGCACACCAAGCATTATCTTCTATATATTAAAAGTGACTATGTAACAGAATTTCTTGTTTTTAACGGAAAAACTAACGGAATTTGTTGTTTTAACGGATTATGTAACATAATTTTTTGTTTTAAACAGGCAGCTGCACCTTCTTTCAGT